TTTTTTTTCAAAATCGTAGATCTTCGCTTAGAAAAGAGATAATGGAATGAAAATTTTTTTATCGTGAAGATAAATGATCTTATAATATAGGAAAACTATAGAGAAGTTACAACAATAATAACTTAACCCTCAAAATACCGTTCAAAATGTCACTTTTTTGGAAATTTTGGATTTTGGCTCCCATTCCACTAGAAAACACTATACTTAATACACCATTAGCACTGTTTCTGAAAGATTTCTCTTTATTTTATCTTAAGACTCGATTTTTGGGACATTGGATGCTGTACCCGAGTGGCCAGATTGGAAAAAGAAAAGCTTCCTTTAAACTCTAATAACTCGTAAACAATCAGCTTTCACAAAAAAATTTATATAACAAAAATGGTTATACTGGTCGATATCTTTACGAAAGTGCAGCATTTAACCCTTTAATGCAGAGTCTGTCATATATGAAACGCTTTATAACGTATGCTAGTGAGATTTAATTAAATTTAGTTTAATATAAAACACAATAACTTTCACTTAGCTTCATTTATTCCACACTAAGATGCTCATAGGCACTTTTTATTACAACTTTAACTCAGAATTAGCGCAATAAATAAATAACACAAACGGCAATAACGCAAATTTGTGTTATTTCCCAATTGAATGTGAATTAACACAAATTCGTTCGCGCTCGCGTCCCGCACCCCCTCCCCTCCTTACGCAATTATGCACTGGTGGCATTATAACCGTTTAGAAAAAAGAAAAATAATAAAATAACACTAGTTCACTTCTGAAACTGCTTTTTAATGTCCAAGTAATGGGAATTATTGTGTATGGTGTTATTGCATGCATCCCACCCATAGTGGAATTTACCAGNAAAAAAGAAAAATAATAAAATAACACTAGTTCACTTCTGAAACTGCTTTTTAATGTCCAAGTAATGGGAATTATTGTGTATGGTGTTATTGTATGCATCCCACCCATAGCGGAATTTATTATTATTATTATATTTGAAAATTTGCCTATAAAATGTGACTATAAGACAGCCGAATGTCAGAAAATAAAGCGGTAAAGCCGTTTTATTACTTCATCTGTTTATTGTGACATCGTTCCATGCAAACATTTTAAGGTTTTCTAGCAATGTTTTTAACATATTAAAAAGCATGCAGATAAAATTCATACAAAAGCGCTATGTCCAATATGCCGAGCAGTTATTAAAGACGATGCTTTCCCTATATTTTGTTAGACTTTGCATAAGTAAAAATATTTTGTGATTATTACTTTCTTCATATGAATTATATCACATTTTTTGTTTAATTCAAGGCCTATCAAACAGGTTTAGAGCATTTGAGCAAAAACAACCTTTGCCTGTATTTTGTTGTTGCTTCTGGTATCGAAAGTGTCAAAAACTGTTCTGATTTTTTTCTTCTACATCAAAGCAGACTGTCGAATGTTACTCCGAGTATTTTGGGGTTATTCACCGTCGGAATTGGTGTATCATCGACGTGAATTCCCAGCGGTAGCCTGACCTCCTTCGTCCAGGTGGTGAACAAGGTCGCAGAGAATTACGTAGGGGAGAGGGCTAGGCACTTTGCAGTGAAGAAGCGATTGGATTGCCCTTCAACAGGTTCTGTCACAGTTGCGATGACCCTGGCTTAAAAGATTGTCCAGCCCCCGCAAGGATGAGGCTTAAAACACTCGGCAACCATTCCTGCAGAATGTTTTAAGAGTGCAGCTGCCTCTCTCTAAATGACGTACTGAAAATCATTAAAGCCGCCAAATGGCTGTAGGTTGTGCGAGTTGTGGAATCTAAATGGCAAACTTGCTAGTTTCTTGTCATCAGAGTGACTTAAACCAACCAAACATCCATCTGCACCACTATGTTTCTATTTACACACGATTTTAACTGTGTGCTTTATTATAAACTAATTGTATACATACATTAATATGTATTGTATTTTGAAGTGAATTGCTTTCGTAATTTTCTGATTAAATTACATCGTCACATAAGTGTGAAAAAGTGCCACGTCCATATTTTGAAAGTTTTCGGGAGACGAAAAATCTATGTAGTTTCGTATTACCTGCCATTCTGCATCAAAAACTACATTTTGAACAAAGTGAGACTTGACACGTTTTCACCTTGAGGTCGCGGCATGTGTTATTTATTTTTTTCACAGGCAATAAAATATTTTTAATTGCATATTTTACTTGATTATAGCGCATATTTGTTTTAATTTTGAATGCATATTATATTCGCATCTTTTCTTATCATTGGAAAACTCATTTAACCAATTAATAACTCGGGATAAGAACGTTTAGTTTTTGGACTCTAAATATTTTTTTGTAATAGTTAAATAAAAATCGGAGTTTTTTACCGTAGGTGAATATATATTTTTGCTTATATTAACTAAGATTCGCCTTTTCGTTTCTCATCGCCAACTTTTCAATATTTTGTATTTTTTCTATTAGTATACTTACCCTATTTTCTTCTTATCTTGTTGTACAGCATTCACGTAATTTCTAAATATTGTTTCCGCTTCCGGAGTGTCCAAAACATCAAATGGAATACGAGCTTCATCTTCTGCTTCTTCCATATCAACTAATTCGGTCCATGAAGCTTGAGGGCATTCGAAAAAATATTGTTCGAAGTCGGGGTGGGTTCGCAAAATGCCTTTGGCGTTTACCCATATATTTTCATCTATAGTTCCTAAGCTGCTTATGTCGGGCAATAGATACTCCAGTGTATTAGCAAATTTATCTATATATTGATTTAATTTTTTGTTTAAATGATCATCCCGTAATTTTTTCATATGACGCCTGAAGAGCTTTTGGCCAGCTTCTATTCCAAAAATGTTCAAAAATTCAGTCCACTCTCTATACTGCGCTAGTATTTTGGATCCCTGCGACCAAAGCACATGATAATCAATTATCTGATTGCGAATAAGTCTCGTTACAGCTTCAGATCGCGTGTCTAACAGCTCCTTTCGTGACTTTGCAGCCTCATGATATGAAGTTATTTTAATGCGACTTTTTACTTTGTCTACCGTTTGAGCAAGAAGTATAAAAGCCAAATCTATATTTATAGATTCATGCGAAGATGTTTCAACCAATTGAACTAAGCCCTTGTATTCTTTACGTTGACATATTTTTTCTGCTTCTCGTATATATAGTTCATTGGCGTCGTCGTTCTTTGTGGTAACAAGCACAAGTGGCTTTTTGTTTTTCAGTATATTTGTTATGATATTGTGGACAAATTCAACTTGCTTCTCAACTGGCCGATTGGGCACTGGACTAACATCAAACACTACAATGAAACCATCTATACACAGACGACCCTCGGGCATAATTTTCTGTTCGTATTCCTTTTCTATTCCCAACTGGTTTTTACATATATACATAAGCTTTTCAGCAGAAAACACCTTGGTGGCTACACATCGTTTATAATAAGGTTCCATTTTCCCAACCTTAAATGCATGAAATGTTGAGTCGTCCATGAATTCCGTCTGCTCAATTATTTGAAAATTGTATTCCACTCCGTCTTCAGTCGTTTTTCGTACATCGCCCCAATATAGGAAATGATCATTGTTAACAATTCTACCGCTGAAATCGCTCTATAAAAAATAAATGTTGAATACATTTTTAAAGCTTATATTAATCTACTTTATTAAACTACCTGACTCAATACTGATATGTGATCAATAAAGTAATCGTCGGCCATCGGACGAATGAATCTATTGCATAAGCAAGATTTTCCCACGCCGACTTGACCCCGATCTTTTTCAGTGCCCGAAAGGCCTATGACAGATACATTAATCTGCTTCATGATTAGCCTGTTAACGGAAAAACATAGGGAGTATATTAGTTCATATGTACCAGATCGAAATAAAATTGATTTTTGATTCGATTCGAATCGAAATAAAAATAATACACTGCCGGAAAAAAGTATTGGCACAGCAAATTTTTCACAATATATTCAAAAATTTGTATTCTAATATTTTAATCCAATTTTGTATAACAATATGGTTTATTCTACAACAAAAAACCTAAAAATATAATTCCTAAAGTTTGTGCAAAACTCGCAAAAATTCAGCAAATTTTCAACTTTTTAATCAGATTTTTTCTACATAGTAAAAAAATGTAAGTTCGGAGTTAGTCAAAAATCGCACTGATTTTTGAGAATTTTTTTTGTTGAAGGTGTTTTGCCCTTTTTCCATATAAAGTATTTTCGAAAAAAAATGTTTGTATGGAAGAGATTGCGTGAAATCCGAAAAATCAACGGAAATGTATGTACACATCAGAGGTGTGAAAAATTCATTAAATTTTTTAATGCACAGCATTTTAATGTAAATGAAAAAGATTAATGCATTAATTTTTGATATTTAATGTAAATGAAAACTTCAATGCATTAATTCCGAAGAAATAATGCTAATGATTTTTTTTTTTTGTATTAACATTAAATTGTTTAAATGAATGCTATTGCAATAATTTATTGCATTAAAATTATAACAAGCATTAAAAACCCATTAACTAATTTTATTTTGAAGTAAAAAATCTTGGCTGACGTTGAGGGTAGAATTTTAAGGTCAAAAAAGATGGTGACGGACGTTAAGGCTAGTTTTCACTATGTCAAGTTCAATGGCATTTGTCGTTAAATAGGTAAAATCACATTGTCAAATGGAACTAAAAAACGGTTTATTGATTGATTTAGATCAGAGTAGGTAATCAGTCGTGTACATGCGCTGCTAAAATGGCTATCTGTCCGTTTTTGGCTCATACTTAATATATGTAATCGGTATGCATCAACAATCAACATAAAAATCTACAAAAGCACTCTGCGTTGCATGCACATTGGCTTTCATTTTCATAAAACATCTAACAATGTTTAGAAGAATTTTTCTACAAATACACATAATCTAATGAAGCTGAAAAAACTATTAGTAATTATTCCAAGTCCTTCCAAAAGAGGTTATTTATATTTTACTAGAAAAAAAAATTAATGGTTTTTAATAATGCAAACATTTAAACATAAAACATTTTAGTGCATGCACATTGGCTTTCATTTTCATAAAACATCTAACAATGTTTAGAAGAATTTTTCTACAAATATACATAATATAATTAAGCTGAAAAAACTATTAGTAATTATTCCAAGTCCTTCCAAAAGAGGTTATTTATATTTTACTAGAAAAAAAAATTAATGGTTTTTAATAATGCAAACATTTAAACATAAAACATTTTAGTGCATGCACATTGGCTTTCATTTTCATAAAACATCTAACAATGTTTAGAAGAATTTTTCTACAAATATACATAATATAATTAAGCTGAAAAAACTATTAGTAATTATTCCAAGTCCTTCCAAAAGAGGTTATTTATATTTTACTAGAAAAAAAATTTAATGGTTTTTAATAATGCAAACATTTAAACAAAAAACATTTTAGTGCATTAAAATTTTTTCATTAGCATAATAATTTAATGAAAAAAAAAATTTCATTAGCATTACATTTTTCAGAATTAATGCATTGAAATATTCATTTGCATTAAATTTCATAAATTAATGCATTAATTTTTTACATTAACGATATTGCTTTAAATACCATTAATGCATTAAAAAATTAATGCATTTTTAACAACTCTGGTACACATACATATGTACATACGTATACGTATATAAATAGTATGTAGAAACAAACTATGTATTTACTTTTTACTTAAGGCCTCCCTATGAACAATACATTAATACTATTAACATCCCACTAGTGAGCAACCGACACATAACTGACCGTGGGAAAACTTGGGCTTTCCAGCAGAAATCCAGTCGCTTTTAATTTTTGACCTTGCGATTTATTTATCGACATATAAAAGCAAAGCCTCAGAAAATAGTGAAGCCTTTTACATTCAGATGGAAGTTATTTGTGAATAAATGAGACTTCTGACAGAAAAACATCTTGTCCTTTGCCACATCTAGCAATAATAATTATTTCAACTATATTGGCCATCATATTCTTAACTACCAATCTTGTTTCATTATTAAGGTAAGGTTCAAGGTTTGGGAAATTACTCAATAAAATGCGAAAACTGATTACATACAATAGTGTAGGAGATAATTCTATTCGACGAAAATTCTACTAAAAGATTCTACTCTACGAAAATTATACTTTATTGCCAGTCGAAAACAGGGTTTTGTAGCAGGAACTCTTTAATTAGTCTTTTAAATTGTAGTAAATTGTTAGCGCCTCGTATTTGTTCTGGCAGCTTGTTAAAAGTTTTAACGCCGTAGTTCCTAATTGATTTAGTTATTCTTTCAGTTCTAAAAAACTTGGTCCTCATGTCACGTTGGTTCCGAAAATTATAGACGAGTATTCCTGTGTAATTAAAATCAATACTATGTTTGATTAGGTTAGTTTTAATTTTATAAACAGTGATAAGTGTCTGCAAGATGCAAAAACGATTAACATCCAGTCTGGGCTCTATTCTGTAACTGTGTCACAACCAAAAACTCACCGACTAAAATTCAGTGAGTTTTTCGGAAGAGAAGTGTACACAATTTTGACAGTTAAAAATCATTCTCACAGATGCTGAATCGCAAAATGAGGAAGTGTACACAATTTTGACAGCTAAAACTCATTCTCACTCTTCCTGAATCGCAAAATGAAGAGTGCACACAGTTTTCAGTGTACACTTGAAAACTCACAGTTACGAAATAGAGCCCCTGGACGGGGTCTGCTTGGGAAGCAGTAGAATGTTTTTAATCATTTTATTCTGAAGCCTTTGCAATTCGTTCATTCTTAGGGCGGAACATCGATTCCAAATTGGATTTACATAATTTATTTGCGACATAAACAAAGCTTCGTACAGTAGCCACAGATGCTTTCTGGGAATACTGTTTTTATTTCTGTGAGTAGCAAAACTGAGCGGAATTAGCTTTAGTTTTAAGTTTTTGAGATGCTCATTCCAACTTATGTTGGAGTCTATCCAAACTTCTAGATATGTTAAAGTATCAACTCTTTATTAAGACATTGTTGAGAACAATCCCTGGGAGGTCATCCTTGTCTGGTATTGGCTTGTTGTTATTAAATATCACGAAATTTGTTTTAGTTAGGTTGATTTTTAAGCAATTCTTGTCAAGCCAGTCGTAGGTTTTACACAAGTCGGACCTTATGTTTGATGTAAGCTCTTCTATTGTATCAGTTGCATACATAATAAGTCCATCATCGGCATAAAATTACGGGGTTCCTTTTAGGTCTAATTTTAATAAATTATTTATATAAATTAAAAAAAGGGTTGCTGCTGCTTTGAGCCCTGCGGGACTCCTATTTTAATTTTCGGCGTGGAGCTTTTTGTCCTATTTACTTGAACATATTGCACCCTATTTAATAAGAAGCTTTCAAATAGTTTTAAATTATTACCGCATATTCCTAGTTCAGCCAGTTTTCTAATCATAATTTTTAAGTTATGAACCATTTTTAACAAGATCGAGGCTGGCAAGGCCGTCTTATTTTCCGTTGAGCTGTTGCTTAACTTTATATTTGATTTGTGTGCGGAAATCCTTGCCTTGAGTTTTGTTTTTGTTGTCCCCACATATACTTTGTCGCATAAGTGGGACCCGCCGCCATTACATGAAATTTTGTATATTACGTCAGATTTCTTGTATCTACACATATCTACAATTAAAATATCAATAGAACGAAAATTTGCGTTTTATTTAATTGCTGGGCCTCGAGCTTGTTAAAAATGGTTCATAATTTAAAATTCAAAGGCCAAAAACAAAATACATTATTTTTAAGTTCACTGAATCGAATGCCTTTGACAAATCTATCGCCAGTATCGCCACATATTTCTTTTTATCTAAATTTTCATAGACAAATTCAATACAGGACAGACACGCTGCCAGATTTGATTTGATCATGGTGTAGTAATAACAAGGTGTTGTCAGTAACTTAACCTCACTTTCTCGGCAGTTCTATTCCAGTCACGCATTTTAAAGTAGTAGAAAAGGTACTACTTTTAATCCGTTTGTGCATATTATATCAAAATAAATGTAGTTAAATTAATATTTACAGGCTTATAAGCTTATATATATAAGCTTATTTATATATGCTTATATATATGTTTGTATGGGCAGCTCCACACGGCTTAGAACTTATAAAAAAATAAACGTCGTAAAATAAGGCGATTTCCTATAAGACTGTAAAAGGTTTTTTAAATAGATTAAAACACATAAACATCGCAAATATAAGTGAATTTCTACTTTTAACATGCATCCACTCTATTCTAGTGAATCAGTAGTCCATTTGGCTCAATATTATGACAATGCAGCAAAATTTATTTGATATTAAAAAAATCGTCTTTCCATACGATTTTTGTGTACTTCTTTTTCCATTGATAACCAATACCTTTTATTTTTTACATTTTGAGGACAAAAATTATACAAGTTCAGCAATTTTAAATATTAATGTCGTTCTGAAAATACCAAGTTCTTAAAAAATCGCGATAAAATAAGTTACTAAAATGGAGTATTTTAGATACTATTTCCCAAAGAATAGTAGTATAAAAATTATGATCGACAGCATTGAAAATAAGCATGCCGATCTTGTCAAAATTACAACAAACACTGACATAACCTTGTTATTATTTCACCATGTGATTTGATTATCTTTTAAAAAAACTTTCAGGTGGTTGAGAATGATACTTTCAAAAATTTTGTCCATTGTACTCAGTTTAGTTATTGGGCGATAGTTAGAGCAGATTTCCTTACTTCCCTCTTTATGGATCGGTATCAAGCAACCTATTTTCAATTCTTGTGGATACTGGAAACGCCCAGATATTT